TCACCCTCAAACCTGCCCCAGAGCCGGGCTAACTCCCACACATCACCCTCGAACCTGCCCCAGACCAGAGACTAGGCCCCCACCCTCCCTAACTTTCCTCACGTCCACAGGTTAGTGGAGGCCGCCTTAGGCTACACTTCCTTGTTATGCGATGAACCATGTCCCCACCCTCCCAAATTCCTATGTTGACACTCTAACCCCCAGTACCTCAGAATGTGACTGTATTTGGAGATAGGGTCTTGAAAGAGGTAATTATGCTAAAGTGGGGTGTTTAATCCAGTATCACTGGTGGCCTCAGAAGAAGTTAGGACAGGCACACACAGAGGGAACACAGCATGAAGCAAGAGGCAGTCCTTTACAAACCAAGGAGAAAGGCCTCAGAAGCAACCAGTCCTGCTGATACCCTTAATCTTGGACTTCTAGCTCGGAACTGAGAAAATCAATCTGTGCCGTTTGGACCCCCAGTCTGTGGTACTTTGTCACAATAGTGCTAACAGACAGACTAACGCAGTCCCCTGTAACACGCAGTACAGCCGGAGCTTCCTGAGGACAGGGTGAGTCTCCCCGGCCCCCTTGCCAGAGTTACGCTGCGTGCGTGCTATGGGGTGTCTGTCCCCAGAGACCACAGGCCCCAGCAGGAAGGTGGCACATCCTCTGGCCAGCTGTCAGGGAGAGAGGACAGGAGCCCAGGACATGCCAAGGGACATCCGAGGTTCCAGTGTAAACCTTCCTGAGTGGAACGTGGTCTGTCTGTTTCCCGCTGCCCCAGCCCCAACATACACACTTCTCCCAACACACTCGAGCCCTGCTAGGGACGGGCCTGGACCAGACACATAGGGTCACTTCTAAGGGAGGCCCTGCTCTGTGACAGGCACCGTGCAAAGCCACTGGCATGCATCACCTTGCGAGAGCAAGCGAGGAGCTTATTGTCACCGCCCCAGCTTTAGAGCTTCGGAATCAGAGGCTGGGAGGTGAGGCAACTTGCTCTGGCCTGTAAGTGACGTGGTCAGGAGCCAGGCCCGTGGGCTTCCCCATGAGGGGAGAGGACAGAGGCGCCTGTGACTGCAGGCCCCTGACCCCCACCCCAGGAGGTGAGCTGCTTGCCCACCTTGTCGATGGATGCCTTGAGGAAGTTGTCCAGCAGGAGGCGGGCTTCGGCCAGGGAGCAGGAGCTGATGACCACGGATGTGTCCGTGGAGTCCAGTTCCTCCTACGATGGAGAGGCAGGGACCCCTTGTCACCGAGGCTGCCCCCCCCCACCCCGCATCCCTCCTGCCTCCACCCCAGCCGGGCGAGGCCCCATGGGCACCTTGGTCTCCTCCAGCTGCACAATGGTGGCCTGGCAGTCGGTGATGCTGTCGTTGATATAGTCAATGTTGGCTGCCAGCACCTCGATCTCCTCGGCCAGCTCCTGCAGGCCCTTCTCCTCCTCCGGGCTCTCAGCCTGCAGCCGCTCCCGCTTCCTCCGCAGCGCCTCCTGCAGGAGGAACAGCTCCTCCCTTTTCTGCAGGGAGGGTGATGGACAAGCCTCGGGTTGCCGCCCAGCCCTGCCCACCGTTCCCCTCAGGCCCCCCTGTGCCTCTGGATCCCAGAGCAGGCACAAGGAGTGGGTGGAAAGGGGATGAGGAGGTCTGATGAGCCAGGGACGTCAGAAATGGCAGAGGACCGGCGGAGGGGAGATGGCAAGGAAACAGGGGCAGGAGCCCCAGGCTCCTTGTGGTCAGGCCCACCTTGATGAGCCGCTCCATGTCAGCCTCTAGGTTGACAATGGTCATCCTCTGCATGACGATGTCAATGATCCTCCGTTCCAGGGACTGCCACTTGAGCCTCGCAGCCTTACTGAAGCTCTGGCTGGCCCCCTTCTTCTGGAACTTCTTTCTGGGAGACAGATGCACAGGGAATTGGTTGGGAGCACTCCCCTTTTTAAAGTTTTTTTTTTTTTCAGGTTTTCTGTGGTCACTTAGCACTGTTAATAATATGTTCTTTGGGGGAAAAATGTATTTTTTAAATCATTTTGTTGTATTTTATTTTAATTCCCACTCCCTATTTCCCCATCCCCCTGCCTACCTGGTTAGGAGCACTCTCAACCTCTGCAGCTCCACGGACACCCCTGCACGCCCCCCACCCTGGAGTTGACAGCCATGGTGACCCGTCACAGGACCCCACTTCCCCCAGGCTCGCCTCTCCCTGGCCCTGCCCATCCGCCTCACCTGGCAGGGCGGGCGCCATTGACAGCAGGTGCAGCATGGTCCCCCAAGAAGTGGTTGATTTTGCGGTTCCATTGGCGCACGATGCTGGAGACAGAGCGCGCCCCTGATTCAGCCTCGGAGGAGGTAGTGCTGGCTGACACCTCAGCCCCTGAGTCCAGCATGGGCGGCTTCGGTCCTGCACGTCCTGCCACCCGCTCAGACATGGGCTTGGCCAGGCGCCTCAGTGCGGAAACCTGGGGTCGAGAAAAGAGGAACCCAGTGAGCGGGGCGGGGGGGGCCTGGAACTGGTGAAAAGGCCCAAATTGGGGGGTGCCAGATGGGGCAAATACAGAGGCTGCTCCATCCTCGCCTGAGCTTCGGACTGAGAAAGGGCCAAGGGCTCTCTGATGTGAAATGAACACAGGAGACATCAACCTTTTTCATTAAGGTCTCAGACCTCTGGGACCAGAGCCCGCAGCCCTGCCCTTCATGCCTCAGCCCTCTTGTTGAGAAAGGCCCTCGTAACGGGCCTCACACAGCCTCTGCTCCACTCTGTGTGCTGAGTGACAAAGCAGAGCCAGAGCCACCGGTGGGACTTGGTCCCTCCTGACTCGGGAAGAACTCAGGAGAAGGGGAGCGGCGTCTCTCTCACCTCCTGGGTTTTCCTCCTCAGGACCATTTCCTGCTGCCGCTTCTGGGACTCCAGCGCTCGGATCTGAAACTGTGGGTGAGAGAGGGGGGTCGGAGTCCACACTTAGGCTCCACGGCCTGGTCTGCCCAGCTCTGTAGGCAAGCCTGGCTTTTGGGTGGATTCTCGTACAGCCCAAACCTATTGCTAATATGGGACCCCGAGTTTGGCTCCCCTTCCCAGAGGTCACAGTGCAGACCGTTCCCTTGGAGCAGGGAAGCCCCTCAGCCTCTTGTCCACACCATGGCTAGGAAGCTGGGACCAGCAGGCTCGGGGCCGGGAGCCGCACAGTCCCAGCTCTGGCTTGCTGGCGACCCTGGGCAAGGGCCTGCCCTCTCTGGGGCTCGAGTCTCCCCCCACCCCCCTGCACTACAGCGGGTGGACCAGAAGCCTCTTGTGCTTGTTCCCTCCCATGCGAGGCTGCATCCTGCTGCAGGTGCGACTGTTACTGCTGAGGGTCGTGGGAGCCGAGGGGCAGCCAGGCACACAGTGAGGTGGCGGCCCCCAGGGGCTGCCCCTCACCTCCTGGCGCCGCTGTTCCTTCTTGAGCTGAGCGATCTCCCGGTTCCTCTTAGTCTCTACCAGCCGCCGCCGCTGCTGCTCCTCACGCATCTGCTTCATCAGGGCCACCTGGGATGGGCAGGGGTGGCGGTGGGGCGGAGGAGTGAGGTGGGGCTGGGCAGTGGGGACCCACACCCTCTGGGGAGGGCCTGGCTCTGAGGATGTTGGGCAGGAGCGGTAGCCTGCCAGGCAGCACTGGCTTGGGGCTCAGGGGTCTGGAGAGAGGGGTCTGCTCCTATTCCTCCTTGGGAGTTGAAGCTGCCCCGGCACCTGGGCAACCTGCTGGAAGGAGTGGCCTTCCTGCCAGCCCAGCTGTGCCGGTGCAACCACTCTGCAAGGTTTAACCCCGCCCCCCACTTCCAAATGTCATAGCCCCTGGTGGCCCCTTCCCCAAGCCACCATCCTGGGTCTGGCCATTCGAGGACCAGCCAGGGGTTGCTGGAGGCAGGTTATCCCACATGGGTGGAACACTTTCCTCTCTCCCACAGACAGCTGAGCAGCAGACAGGGCTGAGGCGAGGGTCCAAGCCACATCCCAGGGCCAGGCTCACAGTGACAACAATAAGAGCCACCACCATTTATCGAGAACATGCTATACACCAAGCACCGTTCTCATGACAGTCACACAAGAGAGGCATTACCATTCTCGTTGTAGAAACAAGGAAATGAACCTCAGACAGACCTGAACGGTCAGACTTTTGGCCCAGGTCATTTTGCCCCCCAAATCTAGCTCTTACTATAGCCCCAGGGATGACAGCATGCCAGTCCAGAGCAGAGCTGGCGATCAGGTATAGACAGCCTGGAACCTGGAGTTGTCAGAGCCATGGAGAAGGCACAGAGAACACCCTCGGTGCGGTGGGAGATGACCCAACCTGATAGAGAGCCGTGCATCTGGGATACTGCGGCGTCCGCCCCCTCCCGCCACGTCCTGGTGCCCGAAGCACGACAGTGCAATGTACACAGGGCTTTAGACACTTTCCCAGTGACAGGGAAATGAGAGTCGCGCGGAGGCTGATCCTTCCTCTGCCACTGAGGCCTCAGACATGACGAGGAATATCACCAGCCTGCGCTGCCCTGAGGACAGTCTTGAAATGGCCTGGGAGGGAGGGAGGCAAGGCTATAAGGGGGCTGGGGGTTGGGGGGAGGGGGTTGGCTTCTCTCTCAGAGGGAAGGCTCTGCAGGGGTGAATCTACAGACAAGAGGAGGGCTCGCTGCTGCCGGGTCTTCAGGGTCCAGAATGAGTGTTTTCCCCAAGGACTGGCACTGAACAGAGCAGCCCAAGCCTGACCTGAGCCGGTGCTATCTGCTGGGGTAAGGGGTCAGAGGCTTCCTGGGGAAGAGCTGTGTCCCCCTAGACAGAGGGCCATCCGCCCAACGTTGCACGCCTCACTTTCCCACGTAAAAAATAGGAATAATAACAGGACCTCCTTCACAAGGATCTCCTCAGGATTTTAGTATGCTCATGCATATTAGGCAACTAGCCTAGAACCTGGCCACAGTAAGCACTGAAACAATGGTAATTATTGTTATCATTACCATAGGCAAAGCCTGCCCCCAGGAGAGGCCTCAGAGGTACTCCCGTGGCTTGGCCGCAACTCTGGTGCAGTTTCCTACCACAGGGGGCAGTATTGAGCGGCACGCCCCGGAGATCCACACCTGCCCCTCTCCTGGGAGAGGTGGTTCCCCCCTCCACCCCTCCCACCCCGGGACGAGGACCCGGCTTAGAGGACAGTGTCCAGGACCAGGACAGGCTGACTTATGCAATGCTGCTGTGTCTCAAGAAGACTGTCCACGCTCATAGTGATGATTATTTTTAACACGGTAAGTGGATTCTAAGAAGACATCCATGGCCACCCCCCTGACCCTTACCTTGGCCTTCTTCATCTCAGCCACCTCGGCCTGCAGCTTCTTCAGCTCCCTCTCGTAGCGGGACTGGTTTTTGAGCAGCCGCGCGTGCTCCTTCTGCGCAGCCTGCAGCTTCTGCAGGTCCCGGTTCATCTCCCGCAACCGCTTCTCGTAATCCGCCTTGATCTTGTTGGCCTTCTCCTCCGTGTAGCATTCCATGGTGCCTGAGAGTGGCAAGAAGCGGCTGTCAGTGCCACGTCCCCAAGTGTTCTATCAGCTTCGGGCTCAGAGGGCGTGTGGCGGGGAGCAGGAGCCTGGGTTCTAGTCTCCCTGCAGGACCGTGAGCAAGTCACACCCGTCTGTGTGCCTGTTTCCTATTTACACAATGAGGGGATCAGGCTGGAAGATGCCAACTCCCCTTCCTGCTCCGACATTCTATTGGACCTTGAGGGAGTGTTTTCATCTCAAAATCTCTGAGCCCCCAGTCACCAGCTTCCTGCGAGGGTACTGTGGTCCACTCCTGCTGGCTCGGTTGGGACCCATGACTGGAGGAAAGGGCGAGGCCAGGGGGAAGGAAAGAGCTAGTAAGAAGACAGTGATGTGGGCCAGAGCAGAAGGAATAAGCAGATTCTCTAACCTTGACCTTTGCTACCTGAAATGCCTACAGGCGTCTCCATGGACATGTGTCGCAGACATCTCCGACTTAAAAGGCACAAAACCAGACTCCCAAACTCTGTCTCCCTCACCCTAGCAGGCTTCCCCGTCTCCACAGATGTCATCACCACCCTTCCAGAAACTTGAAGCCTGGAAACATCCTTGGCTCCTCTTACATCCTCCACCCAATCAACAGAACCACCACTTTCATTCCCCTTCTGAGCAGCCAGTGACCCACCCCCAACATGCTTTTAAAACCTACAGCCCATTCCTCTCTCCAAACTCCACACCTTCCCGTCTTCCTCAGAGAAGAAAGTGATGTCCTTAAAATGACGGGCGTGACCTGGCCCCCGTAGTTCTTCCATTATCCCATCTCTTGCCGCTGTGTTTGAGCTGCCTGCCCCTTGTCATTCCACCACATGCCAGGCACACTCCCGCCCCCGGGGCTCGGCATCTTCTCTGCCTACGGTGCTCAGCCTGTGCTCACTCTCCGCTAGCCCTCTCTCACCTCCTTGGGGTCTGCTCACATGTCACCTTCTCGTGACGTCTTCCGTGACCGCCCTTTATAAAACTCCACTCCACTCCCTGCCGCGCCCTGTCCTCCTTCCCTGCTTCATCTCTTCCATGGTACTGATCACCATCGGGCACGTCACAGACTCTGCTTATTTATCTTATTTATGTCTGTCTCTCCCCCCCCAGAACGTACACGTCACGAGGCAGGGATTTTGCTCACCCCAATATCTCTAGCGCCTAGAATAAGGCCAGCTCTGTAAGAGCAAACAAATGAAACCATGATTGAATGAATGTGCTAAAGAGCAAGTATAAAGAAGCTAGAACGCAGGGCGCCTGGGTGGCTCAGTCGTTAAGCGTCTGCCTTCGGCTCAGGTCATGATCCCGGGGTCCTGGGATCGAGCCCCACATCGGGCTCCCTGCTCAGTGGGAAGCCTGCTTCTCCCTCTCCCGCTCCCCCCTGCTTGTGATCCTTTGCTCGCTGTGTCTCTCTCTGTCAAATAAATAAATGAAATCTTTAAAAAAAAAAAGAAGAAGAAGAAGACAGAATGCAACAGTCGGTTTGTAAATTGGTTTAAAGGAAAATATGCAAGGAACTGAATGTAGAAAAAAAGCTGAGGACACATCATGGTCATGGCATATCATGTCCATGTGCCTAGGGAAACAAAGGATTCTAATACTCAAGATGCTAATAAAATAAGAACGTAAAACGTAGCACAGAAGTCAGGTTGGGCACAGGCGTAGGTGACAGTGGGCCAGAGGGCCACAGTCCAAGGGTCAGAAGACCAGGTAGATCCCCAAGGTGCCAGCTGCTGGGGGGCTTGTGACAGCGGAGGGGCCCCAGGGGAAAGCAAGGGCCTGGGTCGGGGGGGGGTGGCCTCACTGAGGTTCTGCAGCACACGGTCACGCTCCAACTGTGTGTCCCGGATCTTGTTCTGAAGCAGAATCAGCTTCTCCTCGTACTGGTGCTTTAGAGTCTGCAGTCGCCTCTGGCTGTTCTCCAGCTCATCGATCAGCTTCTGCTTGATCTCGATCTCACACGTCAGGTCGGCCAGGTCGGCCTGGAAGTTCACCTCTGTGGGGCAGAGACAGGCTCCATCCAGTGCCAGGGGCTTAGGGTGGGAGGGGGTGTGGGGGCTTTCTGTTGGTCGGCCACGGCCAGTCAGTGGCCAGAGGCTGGAGGCAATGGTAAGTCCCATGGTGGGTAAGGGCCGCCAGGTGAGGCGACACATTGGAAGACTGGCCTCAGAAACTGGAGGCTGGCCCAGGATCTGGGGGCAGGGGGATGTCTAGGCATCCCACCACCCCTGCTGTGCCCTAGAGGCCAAGGTCTATCTGGCACAGGACCCAGCCTAGGGGAAGGAGGGCTGTGGGTGGGAAACGGTGGCAGGGCAGAGCTGACAGGGCAGGTGCCCCCATTTAGAGGAGTGGGTTTCGGCACCATTCGAGGCCCGGCTCTGCACCCACCACGCTGGGGAAAGTCACTAGACTTCTCTGGACTTGGGGGAGTTCTGAACACCTATGCACAGGGTTGTAGTGAGGACTGAAAACCCCATGCCACATGGAGGTTGAGCGCAGCGGTGCCTGGCATATAATGAGCACTGTCATCCTTATCACTACTGTTGTTTTTGTTGGTGGTGGTGGTGGTGGCATGTCTGGGAGTTCCGGGCACTGGACGTCCACATTCTTTGAGAATTCAAGTAAGGCCTGACCCCAGCCAAGGGGCATCTGGCCCAGGGTCTTGTAACTGGAAGGTCTGAGCAGTTTCTCCGGGCCAGGTGCTGACCGTCAGCCCACCCCCAGCACCTGCCATTCGGCAAGTCGCCTCCCCCTGCCCCAGCCTGGGCACACGCACCCTTCTCGTCAGGGTCTGAGTCCGAGTCCACCAGGCTCCCCTCACTGCCCGAGTCCTCGTCTTCATCCTCACGCCCCTCCTCCTCCTCACAGCCGCTCTCGTCTGGCTCTTCCTCCTCCTGAGCACCAAGCACCATCAGAGGTGGCCAGTGGGCCCTCCTCACTCAGCCTGGGCCTGGCCTCAGGGAGGAGAGCCCAGAAGCCAAGGGAGTCTGGACAAGGCTTCAGGTGTGTCAAGAGGGCGGGGAACGGGGCAGACCACGGTCAGGGCCCTTTGTGCCCACCCCCAGTCCCGAAAGAGTACCACCTGACTCCCCCAACAGCCTGGGCAGAACCCCTCTGGGAGAGCCTCCCTGCCCAGCCTCACCCATTTGGGATGAGGTGGGGGAACTGAAGGATGGAGACCACCAAGGCAACCAGTCAGCCATATGAGGAAGCTCAGGGACCAATTCAACTGGAGGCAGGCCTAAGCCCCTCCCCCACCCTGCCAAGGTGGTCATGGGGTTCCCTCCACTCAGCAGGGACGGTGGGGAGGGACAAGCATGTAGAGGGGAGGGGACAGGGGCAGTCCCTCACCTCCTCAGCCTCATTCTCGTCGGTCTCCTCACTGTTTTCCTGTTGGAGTTTTGCCCTCTTTTTGAAGGCCTCCTTCTCTGGGCTGCCCAGGAGTGAAGGGCAGGCCAGGTTAGCTTTGAGCATGTGGCAAGGGGTGTAGGAGAGGGCAGGAGGATGGGGCTGGGTTCCTGTTCTGCAGAGAATCGGGCTGCTCCTCTCTACCCCCAATCTAGAATTAACCCTGGGTCATCTCCACCCTCCCTCCCCTTGGGGGAAGGTGCAGCATTAGAGAAAGGTGGGTGGCTTCTGCCCAAAAAGCTAAGCAAATGTGCTCAATGAGTTCCCAAGCAGCCCCGGGGCAGCGCCCTGCTACAGGCAGGCGGGCAGCCATGCTGCTGGAGAGCCTGCAGAGCTGTGGGCGCACTCCGCTCACCTCTTTCTCCGCTGCCTGACTTCCTTCTTCTTGAGCCGCTCCAGGTCCTGCTTGGCCCTGCGGATCACTTCAGAGGCATCCTCCATGGAGCTGACCGGGCTGCCCCCGAAGGCCGGAGTGCCCGGAGATGCACCCAGGGCGTAGGGGCTTCGAGCCGAGGCCCGGGAGAGGCTGCGGCGCAGGGACTCATTCATGGCCTCACTCTCCAGGAGCTTCGTCCTGCATGGGGAGAGCCAGCAGTTGGGGCCAGGTGAGCCCCGGGCTCTGGCCTGGCCCAGGCCCTCCTCCACCGCTCCCAGATATGCTGGGGGCACACTCACCGCAGCTCCTCAATCTCCCGGATGTAGTTCTGGATCAGAGCACCAATGGCCTCATTACCATCACCTGGAGAGGGAAGGCGGCAGAGGGCAATAGAGAAGGTAAGGAACGTAAGGACCTACGGCTTGGAACTGGTGCTCTGGTACCAGGTCCTCCGATAGGGTACCACACACGGGCCTTTCCCCAAAAGGAATCTACATCGAAGAAACACCTGTCCCTGGGACGGGTATATGCAAGCACTGCTGGAAACAACCAAGCTCCATCCAGAGAGGGCTGCTATCAGTGTTCACCATCCTCACATAGGGAATGCTGTGCAGTTTACAAGAATCAACTAGATTTCTATGTTTTAACATGGAAAGATCTCCAAAGCATAATGCTAAGTGAAAATGGGAAGTCACAGGACAATACACATGGTCTCATACACAGAAAAAGAAAGGGCAGTACATAGTCACACACACATACATCTATGTGCATATGTACATATGAATATATATTCATACTTGTAGCAAAGGTACTGAGAAAGGTGTGGGAAAATGTGCATGGAGCTACTTCTAAGTAGAGAGGACGTGGAGTGGAGAGTTTAGTGAGGGAGGATTTTAACCTTTATACACCCATGTTACGCAAGGAGGATGTATTCGCGTATTGCTTATGGTCATAAAAAAAGGTTTAAAATCAATTGGGGGGTCTCTGGGGGGCTCAGTCAGTTAGGCATCTGACTCTTGATTTCGGCTCAGGTCATGATCTCAGGGTCGTGAGATTGAGCCCCATGTGGACTCTGTGCTCAGTGGGGAGTCTGCTTGAGATTCTCTCTCTTCCTCTCCCTCTGCTGCTGACCACCCCCCACTCTCTCTCTCTTTCTCTCTCAAATAAATAAATCTTTTAAAAAAATCAACTGGAAAAAATTCATAAATGCATTGCTCTGTGAATTGATTGGCTGGCCCAGCTTGCCTAATATCCTAGGGCAGGTATGGGGAGAGGAGGTCCCGGCCTGTTGGGTGCCCGAGCTGGCCTGGTGCACCCCGACTCACCAGCCTTGGCCAGGAGCAGATTGGCTTCCTGGCTCATGAGATGAGTGACGCGGTTGTTGATGGCATCGATGGCCTCCTGCATAGCCTTCACCCGCAGACGCAGTGCCCCGTTCTCCTTCTGCAGCATGGCATTCTCCCGGAACAGGTCGCTGTAGCCCTCGGCACCATCCTCTCCAATCACCCTCTTGCCCTGGGAGGAGGGGCAGGCAGGGAGCAGTCAGGGGCTAGAGCTTGCAGGGCGGGGAAGGGTTGATGATAGACCTAGCAGCACCGCCAATCTCCCCGCCCCCACCCCGTGTTTCCTAAGACACAGCTCCTGTCTCCCGGGGCTCTCCTTGACAACCAGCAAGTCCAAATTCTATAACCAGCCGTTCCAGCCTTCCCCAATCTCACCTTGACTTACCCTTCCACCACCTACCTTCATATCACCATAAGTGCTGACCCAAGGGCCAAAACCCTAAGGGGCCCAGGCAGTTGGCATAAATGAGTCTGAGTACAAAACAACAGGGAGCAGTGGGGACCGGAGTTAACAGAGTCACAGACTCAGTCCCAAATGGTCAGCAACTATGCCACTCTGGACAACGTAGTGCTATATGTTGTTAGGTCTTCACATTTTTTGGGAAAAACTGAAATTCCCTGATTTTCAGAAAGGTAGGCAACTAAGTTGCATTCTTTTAAAACAAAAGGGCAAGCCAAACCAAAACCCATTTGTGTACCAGATTCACACCATGGGCTACCAGCAGCCATTGACTTTTGCCTTAGTCACATGGAATTAGACACTTCCCCAAGAAGCACCCATTTTTCCCATCTCTGTTCCTGTGTGCATGGCTTGATTGCATCCGGGAATAGCCTGTTCCACTTGCTTTTGATGATATCTCACCCATTTTTCAAAATCTATACAAAAGGCCCCTCCTTTGTGAGGCCTTCCCTGACTGAGCACCTGAGTGAAGAGGGCCAGCTCTCTCCTCTGCCCTGCCCCCAGGCGCACTGGACTACTCATGTGGTCCCCATCAATTATTCTTATTCTGTACCACAGTCTAGGAGTCTCATCTGGCCCAACGCAGCCTAGTCAGCGGACACAAAAGCACAAGGCAGAGCATCTGTCCTGGGCATCAGAGCTATGTTGTGGAACAGCTGAGTGCCCTTCTTGCTCTTAGGTGCTAAAACCCCAGGGGCTCCGACTGTGCTCGATTCACCCAGGTGAGCCCCCTCATCATGGCCGGCACATAGCCAATACTCAGGAAGCAGCGGGGAATGGGTGGGGAGGTGAGGGAGTGGTGGGAGGCATGCCGAAGACCTCGGGCCCACCGTGCCTGGGAGTGTGCTCACCGCCTTGTACTCCATCAGCTCCATCTGCAGGCGAGCAATCTCGGCCCGCAGGGCACTGATCTGTTGGCTCGTCTTGTCCTGGTTCACCACCACCTTGTTCTTGATGTTGCGGGCCCGATTGGCGTATTTGAGTGTGTTGAGCGTCTCCATGAAGTCCCGGTCTGAGGGGCTCACACAGGCAATCATGATGGTCTGGCTGGGGGGGTGCCGTAGGAGAGTGAGGTTCGAGCGGCACAGCCAAGCCCCCAGAAGCATCACTCCAGGGCAGAGGCCCCTGCTCCTAACCCATTCCCCTACTGTCTTAATGGCCTAAGGACCTGGGCATTCACCAGGGCAGCACCTGGACCACCTGGCCACGGGGTTCCTTCCAACCCACAGTGAAGGCGGCTGACAGTGTGATATGTATTTCCTTAGTGGTTTTCATCCATTACCCCATTTGGGCTCTATGACTTCAAGACTATCTCTCCCTGATTTCAGACAAGGAAACAGTCTGACCATACTGGCCAAAGGTCATGCAGCATCTCAAGGCTCCTGTCTCCCAAGCCCACAGCCTGCAGTGGGAAGGCCTCCTCGCCCACAAGGCCCTCATGAATCAAAGCCTCACATCAGGATTCTCCAGGAGGTTCCCACCTCCCCTACCCCTTGTTGGCTGTAGAGTACCTGTTGCCCCCCAGCGAGTCTTGGAGAAGCCGAGTGAGCTTCGAGTCCCTGTAGGGCACGTGCACCACCTTCTTGCTCTGGTCCCCCAAGGCGCTGATCACGTTGCCCAGGGCCAACTGTGGGAGACAGGCCCCGGCACTCGAGAGGCAGTCCAGGAGAGGGGAGTGGGGACAGGACAGCCCCCAGGCCATCCGTGCCTGCCTCGAGGACCCAGCAGCCCTCAAGCTCCCTGAGAAAGTTTACGTGCTGCTGTGATCGTTTGGTGAAGTCAAGAAGCTGGGGGCAAGGGTGAGGGCAAAGGACCAAAGGCCTAACAACAGTGACATAAGGGTGCCCTGGCCAGCAGCCAGCAAGAGGCGCAAGGAAGACGGGGCAGCCGTGGGTCTGGAGGGTCTGGAAAGGGTCTGAGACTGAGCTGTGCTGGCCACTGGGGCTGGTGACCCACTGAGTGCCTACCAGGCCGCAGTTGATGGAGATGCCCTCCTTGGCCCGCTCGCCAGTGGCCCCCGTCCGCTTCAGCCGCTCTGAGCCGGCCAGGTCCACAAAGTGAAACTTAGCAGTGAGGGTCTCATACTCACTGGTGGGTGCGGTGCCCTCAGGAAGCCCAGTCACCGCCTCACTGACCTGCAGCAGAAGTTAGCAGCTGACGTACCTGGCCCTCGCCCCACCTCGCGGCTCCTCTGCTCTCAGCCCTTGTCCCTCAGGAATGCTGTCTGTGGGGGGGCGCGGTTCGGGGCCCAGAGGCAGGGCACGCTGCAGCGCCCTCTCCTCTTGCATGTGAGAGCATCTGACTGTGTACTTGCACGTGCCTGATTCTCATGCAAGCCTCACAACCATAGGGGGATGGTTACCCCCATTGTATAGGTGGGGGACTGAGACTTAAGAAAAAAGAAAAAAAAATCAACAAGTGGCCGAGGCAAACCCCAAGCCCCGATTTGCTAGCTTCAGATCCATGGCTCCTTCCTCTTCTTGCCCGCCTGAGAAGTGCCCCCACTACACCAGCTCCTGGGCCTCCGTGGGTTCCTTACTGGCTCGGGCTGGGTGCACACTCGCATCTGGCACACATGGATAGTGAAGATGGCGTGTGAGCGGGAGCTCTGCACATTCATCTGGGTGCTGGCCGTGGTGCGGGACAGGGCCCCCTGCTTCAGGCACTGGATCAGCTGCGGAGCGAGGCAAAAGTGAGGGCAGGAGACGAGCCGTGGAGCCGGCCCCTACCTGCTCCGGACCTCCAGTGGATGCTCACCTCCTCCTGGGAGTTGATGAGGCGGGAAGTGACGCCCGTGGTGTAGATGCCACCATTCCCATCCTCGTGGATCTTGATGTTGGACCTGCGGTGGCGGGCATCAGGGTCACGGGTGCTATCGAACAGGTCGAGGATCTCCTCATTGTAGAGCTGTGGGAGGGGCGCAGAAACAGCTGCTGGGTGCATGTGGCATGTGGCGTGGGGCCCCGAGGGGCTTTCCCATGTTTATAAGCCAGCTCTGTTTTGCAGAGGTGGAAACTGAGGCTCTGGGAGGTGAACTTGCTGACCCTGGTCCCCTCTGGGTTCTGGATTCCAGGGCCTTTCTCCTAGACAGGAGTCGGGGGCAGCTGGGTCCTGGGCAGAACTATATTGAGGTTATGCTCCCACTCCCCAAAGAACAAGCATTCAGCAGTTTTCAGTCTTGTCAGGGGACTAAGGACCTAAAGGGGACAAGGGGACTCAGGTCCTAGATGTAGATGAGGAAGATAGGATCATAAATTGGGCAGATCCTATTATATTTGTTGCTAGGCTGGGAAAGGGGGTGGGGACGTGGTTTCGGATGGGGGGGGATGGGCAGAGCTCAGTAGAGACTTGACCCCCATTGTCCCTGGGAGTTGAGGTGAGATAACCTCCCAGTAGGGGAGGAATGTGGGCACGGAGAGCATGCCACTGGGGCCCGGCATCCTGGGGAGTGCCTGGGGAGACCACTTGGGGTGGGGGGAGGTGGCCTGGCCAGGAGCAGTCACCTTAATTCACATGGTCTCAGCCCTGGAGATTCCTGTTTGTAATCGCGGCAGGGAGAGCTTCACCTGCTGAAGGGCTGGAATATCCCCCAGGCAGGGAGCCGGGGCTGGGGGCCTGGGGGCGGTGGGGAAAGGGACGGGGCAGCTTGGTCAGCAGCCAGCAGAATCCTGTGGGGGAGGGGCGGGCTGCCGCCCTCCGACATCCGAGGCTTTGATGCCTCAAAGGGACAGAAATACTCCACAGGAAAGGGAAGGGGAAACGGAAGGGACTGGTGCAGATGTGGGTGCCATGGTGTCTGTCTGTCTGTTGGGACAGGCGCACCGGCATCATTTAACCCTTGTGATTCACCCTGGGGCATGAGTTTTCTAGGAACTGCCCTACTCTTTGGGGATCCCCATGGCAACAGGCTAGAGAAAAGAAGAAAACAAAGAGATGGGAAAGCTTATAGAGATACACAGCAGTAGGACACACACACACACAGAGGTAGTCACTTTATCAGAAGCAAAAGTCCAGGAGGACAAAGAAAAACTCTCAAGTCTAAACTACAGGGCCCCCTAAGGGGAAAGCAGCCACTATGAGTGCCCAGGAGGTAGTCAGAGTGGTGCAGTGGGCAGGGTGGGCCATGGAAACCCTAGAGAGGGCTTGAGCCACATCCCTCCCTCAGAGGACAACCTGGGTACAGTCAGAGCCCAGGGCAGCCCCATACCCAGCAAATGACCCAGAGCCGGCGGGGTGGGGGAGGTCAATGGGTTGGGGTTTCAGATGCTGAGAACTGAAGCCACCTGGTTCAAGTGTCCTAAAGGAGTCAAGTCAGGCACTCATGAGACGTATCCAGGAACACCTGCTTTCTTAGAGACCCTTCTGAGAGGCCCCTCGATAGGCCAAAGGTTCCTTCCTCTACCCGCAAAGTCCCCAGATGCCAAAAGCCTGGCTTGGCACACAGACATTCTCCCAGAGAGAGGCTGGACCAGTTGCAAAGAAAAGCTCCTTCTGGAGGACCTCCCTGCCCTGAGGTCAGAGAAGACTAGAAGGGTCAGTAAGGACCTCGGCCAGAAAGGGACAGGGCAGACTGCTCTGAAGCTGGGGAGCAACCTGGCCAAGGCCAGAAGGATGGGCAGGAACTAGAGTTCTCACTATGTGCCAGGCACATGCTTCCATGCCATCCTCACAGCACCCACAAGGAAACAGATATTACAGCCATCGTGCAGTGGTGACACGACATGCCCAAGGTTACACAGCCAATAAGTGTCAGAGCTGACCATCAGTCAGGGTTTGAAGAGATCTTAAAGGTTCTCAGTGGCTCAAGCCCCTTCTGACACAGGAAGCCTCTTCAGAGTGTCCCACCAAGAGGTCTTCTAGCTCTTGCTTGGATATTTCCAGCAGCAGGATCCTCAGCAGCTATAGATGCTACCACGGCTCCCCTAGGCTCATTCCACTGTCCTGGGGTAAGCCCAACCTCCACGGTCTTACTGTCTCCCAAATTTCCCTCCCGCCCCCACTACAGGGCCACAGTACCTCCAGGAACTGCGCGCTGACTTTGAACTCAGGCCCGGCCACGCCCTGCTCCTGTGCCCGCCGCTTGCGCTCTGCAATGCCCCCAAAGAGGTGTGCAATGGCCCTCGGGATGATGCCCTGCTCCTCCTCCGATGTCACAGTGTCGAAGCCGGTGCCCATCGTGTATGTCTTCCCGGCCCCTGTCTGCATCAGCAAGGGTGGAACGAGGGTGTTAGCACCCTTGGGGGGCCACCAGCAAGCCCAGGGACTCCTGGCCAGGCGGACTTCCCTTACCACGTACCCGGGTCACTGGCCCCTCCTGGTCCCCAAGCCACACCCTGAGGGAGTCTCCTCGGAGTGACAGCCTCCCTCCAGCAGAGCAGCATGCTGGGACAATAGACAAAACCGCAGCTCCATCTCCACCGGTCTGAAGGGGGAGGGGGCGCTCTCTCCCACCAGCTGGGGAGACCAGAGTTGGAGGGGCCACGGGTGGGAGTGCAGGCGCTTACCTGCCCATAGGCCAGCACTGTGGCATTGTAGCCCTCGAAGCAGCCCTCAATGAGCTTGCTCACACAGGTCGAATAGATCTGTTCCTGCCAGGTGTCCAGGTCGAAGACAAAGTCATAGGTGAAGGCCTTGTCCTTCCCCAGAAGGACCTGGGGCTCCCCGGGGGTGACAGAGGTGCAGATGTGACAGCCCTCAATCTTCTCCTTTGACAGCTGGGGCCGAATCCTGCTCGGGAAGCAGGGAGAGCCCTGGGTCAAGACCCGGCTGGCGGGGGGGCTGCAGTGGCCCTCCTCCCTCACGCTGCCTGCCATGCTTCCACTTCCCCAGGCCCCCTCCAGCCCCCACAAGCTGGAAAAGAAGGAAGGAAGCTCAGGAGCCTCCCCAGAGGACAAAGGCAACTTTTGTAACAATACAATAATACTAATCGTAAGAATAATATCCACTCCACCCAAACATTTATTGAGCGGTTGCTAACATTTATCAAGTACTCTACATATGGGATCTGGGTTAAAAGTATTTTACATAAATGAATCCATGTATTCTTTACTATAAATCTGTGGGGTACATATTATTTGCCTAATTTTACAGATGAGAAAATGGAGGCTGACAGAGTTTAAGCGACTTGCCCAAGAATGTCCCGGGGGCGGGGCGTGACAGAACCAACCTCCGGTCTGATGTCAGAGCGCACACTCCTGATTGAAAGCGGAGTCCTAGAAATCAGTGTCCCACAGATCAGGAAGAGAAGACAGCTTCCCCCCTTCTGGGAGGTAAGGCTCAGCACCAGGGTGGGGAGGGACAGGCCTGGCTGCCCCCCAACCCCGGAATGAATTAAAGAGCAGACCACATCTTCTGCCAAGGCCTGCAGGGGCTGCAAGAGTCCTCCAGCTGCAGAGCCCCCTCTCAGATGCCAGAGCCTGGCGGAACATTCTCAGGTACCAGGCCAAGCACAACTCCGTCAGACCAGGCCAAGGCAAAAGTCGGCTGAGAAGGGCAGGACCCTTTACAGGGGACACCGGGCCAGCCACAGAAGGGGCCCAATCCCAGCTCCTGCTGGGCTCCCTTACAAGAGCTTCGAAGAAAAGTGGCACCGGAGCTGAGTGGGAGCCAGCCGCGGATAGGGCTATCTCCATCCAGCCGCCTCTTCTCCCTCTTCTAAGCAGCCATTGCCATGACGAGGTCCCCATGGCAACCAAGTGTGAGTCAGTGAGCATGCGCTCTAGAGACAGGCAGAAAAGCACCTCCCAAATGCCTAAAGCAAAAGGGGGTGGGGGTGGGTTAGGCGCTAATGCTCATGGGCTCACACAAGCCAGCCCTATCAGCCAGGCGCTCACAATGAGCTGCTTGTCAGGCTCCCTTTCCCAAAGCCAACATTTACCAAGAGAAGAAAAGAGAGAGAGGGCCAGGCCAGCACGCATCCAGGGCCGAGGGGGACCTCGCCACAGAGGCAGGGCCACCAAGTCGCCATCCTGTCCCTGTCCGGGGCTGCCCCAGCCCCCAAGGCCCACTCAGAGCTTCAAGCCGGGGGAGGTGCTCCCCTCAGCCTGTTGCCTGCAGTTTGCTGCGTAAGGGTCATAGGGGACTGGGGAGGGGGGTAAGTGCCAGGGGAGCATGTGGGGGGAGTTAGCTGCGCCAGGCCAAGTCCACACCATAGATGGTAGCCTGGGTTTTCTCCAGAAGTGTTTTCCCTTCGGTGTCAACAGGTCCTCACAGGTCAGTGGCTCTCCCCTCATTGAGGCTGACAGGAATGGAGGGTTACCACCTTCATCCATGCTACCCAGCTGTTCCAGGTCAAGTTGAAATTAGAACCCAGCCTCTCGGTGTCCCCCCTGAACTGGTTTCTGACTGGGAAGGGAGCAGCTGATTCCTGCTTGTCCTCTCTAGAACCTGCAGACCAGAAACTTGACCCACCAGTAAGAGGTCTGGGCCAGCAGTTCTCCTACCTCGACCACTAATAGTGACAACCGACACAAATTCGCACTCACTGCGTACCCGGGAGGGTCTACGCACTGACATATACTAACTCTTGATCCTCAAGAGAACACCTGCGGTGAATACTACTACCCCCGTTTGTAGGGGAGGAAATGAGATGATGCCCAGCCAGCCATAGATAGTGAGGGGCAGAGTGGGGCTCGAACAGTGTGTGTGCACTGCCTCTCCACTATTTCCGTGCTACCGTGTCCCTACGGGCAGGGCTCAGGGGGCCGGGGGAAAGAACGGCTCATGACACAGGGAGCCCCAGCCACAACTCCAGAGGAGGGGGTGTGGCATGGCACACAAGGCACCAGGTAGGAAGCTGGAGCTCTGGCCCTCAGAGCTGGCTCTGCCCCTGGGCCTCTGGGACCCAGGACCAAACACTTACTGCCCAGGGCCGTCCAGGTGCTCCCAGGTGAACCAAGGGTCTGGCCTGGGCAGCCTCTGAGGAGCTTCCAGCATTGCTGGCTAGCACCAACTCCGGAAGACACCCTCCCTACCATGTGGGCTGCTTGTGATAGGATTTCTGGATCCAGTTCAAATACCATTTAATTACCCCAAGCAGATGGCAGTGCTGGTGATTGGAGGAAATCGAATCAGGGTCCCTGGAGACAGTGGGAGCAGGGGAGGGGGAGCAGAAGCCCTGCCTGGCAGAGCCCATCCGGGAGAGGGGCTGCTTCTCCTTCAATGACCAGCCCCAAGAACACGGCGGAGCCCACCTGCCAGGAATAGGAGAGCTGGCAGAAGAGCAGTCTGGGCAAGGGGATGGAGGAGAGGGGCTCCAGAGTTTTAGGGTCCAGGAATTATGGAGTCAGTCAGGCATTCATCCTGGGGCCCTCATCCTGGGACGTGAGGCCCAGCACATCTTGATGTGGGGGTCTCTGTGGTCAGAGAGAGCCAGCCAGCCCCAGACTGGTCCATCTGAAGCACCAGGGAGCTTTGCAGGGTACAGATGGGTGAGCAATGTTACCCAGAGAAAAGGGTACCTGCTGGGAGACAGAGGACATGGGCTTAGGAAGAGTCACTAATTCCCAAAGCAACTGACCTGGACGAGGGAGAGTGTTGGTCCCAGGAATGGGACTTGATTGAGTAACCGGAGATAGAAGAAAAAGAGAATTAAGATTTTATGTGTGCTTTCCATGTGCTAGCTGGGCCAGGCATCCACTACAGACTACCTCACTTAAGTGTTGCAATGAGCTCAGGATTTCCATGCCCATTTTCCAGAGAGGAAAGTTGAGGCTTGAATTGGTTAAAGTCAGACACACACAGTAAATACAGGGAAGATGGGCATCAACTCCTGCTCTGCCTATGAAACCTACAGGCTCTTCTGCTTCTCCAGTGACCTCCTGCCTGGGAAACTCTCCATCCCCACATGGATAGATAAGCTTTCTCCCACAGCACCCCCATCAGGGCCAGGGAGGCACTCTGGAAGGAACCCTGCTCTATCTGTTCAGGGCTGGCCATCCAGCAGGGGCAGACATCGCGTCCCAGCTCTCCTGGGGCTCCCTCCTCACCACACCCTGCCCAGCAGAGCATTCAAACCCGCACCCCACAGGGAGGAGACCAGAGGGCTGGGAGATCAAGTCCGGGGTCCCGGACCAGCCCCTGCCCCCATCCTCTTCTGGTTCAGGAGCCACAGAAAGCCACTTGCTTTCTCCTGGGTCCTCTAGATGATCCCCCAGTTTTAACTTTCTAAGAACGCCTTCACCTTCCCCTCCAGCAGCCTCCTCCCCTGGCCCCACCCTGGGTGAGGTCACTTCTGTGGGCTGCCCTCAAAGCAGCAGTGGCCTCAGCCAGCCCCACCCCGCCCCAGATAAGGGGATAAGGGGAAGGCGGCCGCTTCCCGTTACAGCAGGGTGGCAGGGATGGGAGCCACTCACAGCCCTGGTCCTTCCTGGGGGCATGGGAGGGGGGATTAGGGATGGAAACCAGTTTCTAGGGTCTTGCAAGTCCCAGTAGCCATGGACCAGATCCAGGACTAGGATGAGGTGAGGTATTTGCCACAAGTTCAAAACTTAATGGGGCGGGATGCCTGGGTGGCTCAGTCGGTTAAGCGGCTGCCTTCAGCCCGGGTCATGATCCCAGGGTCCTGGGATCGAGTCCCACATCGGGCTCCTTGCTCAGCAGGGAGCCTGCTTCTCCCTCTCTCTCCTTCTGCTTGTGCTCTCTCTGTCAAATAAATAGAATCTTTAAAAAAAAGGGGGGGGCATGAAAAAAACTCAGTAATGAAGATAAATTATAATTTAATGCAATATTTGAAAAACTCAAATCAGCAAACTATGGCCCCGGGGGCCAGCTACGTTTCATCGGTAGTTTTGTGGACCACACATCCAATATCATTTCTGTCCAGGAACCTCCCGACTCTCACCCCAAGCCCCACGCCTGCAAAGCCGCCCTCCATCCCTTCCCAAGGTCGGGGCCCAGAGGGAAGGGGGCGGGCCGGACAGCCCCGAGCAGAAAGGCTCCCGGCATCTCCCCGAACAGAGCCCGGTCTATTTGCCACTTGGCACCCCGCAGCCCCGAGCGGCGGTGGGAGCGGGCGCGAGAGCGAGAAAGGGCCCAGGGCTTTTCAGAGGCAGGATCTGGCACGGGCGCGCGGCCGCTGAGCTTCCTCTGCTCACAATTGAGCGGGAGCTGGTGTGATGTGGGTAGTTATTTTCATGTCCCTCCCCCACCGCTGGGGAAGCGGGCACCCAGGCCGAGGGACGCGCAGGCGGCTCGGGCCCGGCCCCCCACCCGTCCGTGCCCCCGGCGGCGGCGGCGGCCGGAAAAAGGCCGCGAACCCGAGCCGGGCGCTGCGGGAAGAGCTGAGCTCAGCGCTTCCACAGCCCTTTGCGAAGCCAAGGGGACAGGGCGGAAGGGGAGGACAGAGGAGACGGGGAGGAGGCAGGCCCCGGGGGATGCTGAAGGGCTTCCAAGGAGAACAACTCCCTCTGCGATGGGTAACGTGCCCAGAGCCCCACACCCTACCCGCGCCGTAGGGGGTGAGGGAAGGATGGGCTAGCCCCCCTCACCCGCGCCCCTTCCTCGGTGACATCACACAAAGCCAGCCAATCACTGCCCCCAGGGGCTCCGCCCAGTGACCTTGCACTCCTAAGAGTGGGCTCAGCCTCTCAGGTGAAATTAGTCCCACCCAATCAGCCGGCTAGGGCCCCTCCCTGGGCTCTTAACTTGAGTTGCCCCCCAGTCAGTTAGGAGCTCCTGGAGCTCTTAAGGGGGCAGCTCCAGGCTCTTCCTATTTGAACAGAGTTTTG